AGTCTTGACAGATAAACCTCCTCATTTTTATCCTCTCTTTAAAGGAGGAAATTTCCTAGTAGATTGTGGGGATTCTACAAACATAATGTAGACAGAAATCAAATCCAGAACAATCTCATTAGATCAAAGAAATGGATTGGAAATAACTGAATACAAATGAATAAATTCAATAATTCAATGTATATCTAAATACATTTATTATATGCAATAGTGAAGCTTGACTATTATTGTCAATACATGATTTGATTTTTCTTAGAGGACTAGTTATGTAAAATGGATAATTTTATTGAATTTAGTTACTTCTGCAACACATCTAGATTGTATTGTTTAATCACATGCATGACTGGATCTGTTTAGAGCTGATTGAATTAAGTGACTCCTTTTTGTTGTTCTCATACACATTAGTTCCCCATACAACTACTTAAGTCAAAGTTATTGTGGCGACAGGTCCTTTAAGAAAACTTCAACCAAATTGCAATAAATTCAGTTAAGAGCAATAAGGATGACCATGTATTAATTAAGCTCTAGAAAAAAAATATTAAATGATCTGTGTATATTTAGCCTTGAGAAAACAAGACAGAGGGAGATTGGGGATGAGACTCCTAAAAGGAAGCCATCTAGATGGTGAAAATGTTACTTTTAATTAGTTCAACTAAACTAGGGGTCTTCAAACTTGGCAACTTTAAGACTTGTGGACTTCAACTCTCAGAATTCCTCAGCCAGTCAGGGCTAGCTGAGGAATTCTGGGAATTGAAGTCCACAAGTCTTAAAGTTGCCAAGTTTGAAGACCTCTGAACTACACTAATGAGTTCTACTTAGGGCTGCCCTTAAAGGCTATCAGGCAACTACAATTGGCCCCAAATGCAGAAGACCATGTACTGCCTGGCTCCTGACATTGGAAGCATGTAACATCAGCTTTGTAGAGTTGCATTGGTTGTCAATTGGTTTATGCCACAGGTTACAGTCTGCAGATATCATCTTTTTCAAGGCATATGAAATGAAAAAAGACATATACCTGCTGAATATTGTTATGAGATAGTCCTCTAAGGCCAGGTCCACAGATGAAGGTAAAACTAATGTATTACTAAACTAATGTCTAGCACCTGATGGAGTTAGAGGTCAACTGAACCTTAGTTTGCTTGTGGCTACATAGAGATTCTAGGCTGAAACCTCTTTTGCTTTGACCCTCAGGTTCTGCCACTCCTTCCCCTACAGTTACTTGCTAAGACTTGTGCAGGAATATTACTGGATAAGAGGCTGAAAAACTATCCCCAACCTATCTTATATTGGTGGAATTAAGAAACTGATAAGTATTGGCGTACTTTTTTTTTTCATGGGAGATATAAATCAGTCCTGCCTCTAATCAGTCATTGGTATATAATGACTGGCTGACAAATGGTCTGCTAGAACCAGGGCTTTTTTTGTCATAGAACGCCCAGAACGGAGTTCCGGCACCTTTTTTGGATGGAACCTTGTACGGTAGGCAAGGGGGATTGTATGACGTGTGAGTTCCGGCACCTTTTTTTTTTTTNGTTGTCTCCCAAGCCGCCGCCTGATTTTCCGCCGAGTCGTGGACCAGATCCTCCGGATATGGCCCAAGCTCCATCAGGAACCTCTCAGGGTCCATCAGTCGCCTGGGACGGAACCATCTAGGCGGTTCCGTCTCCCTGCGTCGAGGGGGAGCGGTCCGGAAGTCCATCCTTAGGAGAGAATGATCTGACCATGACAATGTTGATTTCTATAAATATTGCAATTTTGAAATAAATTATGAGCAGTCTTCCATTGATCTGGCTTATTCTAGGCCAGTGATGGCGAACCTTTTAGACACCGAGTGCCCCAAAACCGCCCCGCCTGCCCTGCCCCCGCCCCGCCCATCTGCAGGGCCACCTACTGCCTCCACGGTCCGCCGCAGCAGATCGCCCAGGCGGCCCTGCAGTGCAATGGCAGCCACACCTGTCGCCCGTGCCCCGCAGCATCATCTGCGCACAATGGGGCACGAGGGCAGAGTCTTGTCCCTGCTGCCCGATTGCCATGTCTTTGGCTGTGCTGCTCCGTGCGGGCCGCACCCAGGGGTGACTCTCCTCACAGGAGGGGCTATTGGTGAGGAGGGGGCTGCAGGGGGAGGTGGGGCTGGGGCGATGGCGCACGTGCCCAAAGAGAGGGCTCTGAGTGCCACCTCCGGCATGCGTGCCATAAGTTTGCTACCACTGTTCTAGGCCACATCCTATATATGGGTAGTCCTTGTTTAGCAACCCAATTATGATTGGCAATTTGTTAAGCCAAGCAGTCACTAAATAAAAAGATCACAATTTTACAATCTTACTTCAGCTTTCCTTTACTTTGCAGCCTATGAAAGTCATACATGTGAGGACTCACAAAGTTACTTTTTCATCACCACTATAACTGCTTAAACGAGGCAGTTGCTAAATGAGGAATCCATATATAAAATGTTTATATAATGTATAGGAGTCAATAACAATTTAAACAGATATAAAATGTTTGCTAGTAGCAAAGAAAATTGAAACCATAACAGAAATAATAGTTGTAGAGGTTTGTTTTTTTTGTCAAAGTAAAGTCAGTAAAATAATATATTCGAGCAGCACTGATAATGTCATAATCCTGTTTTTAAGATCTAGATAGTGATAACCAATTGTTGTTAGAGTCTTTTCATTATGGGAATACTTTTATTTATAATTTTTAAAATACAGTTTGAATATCAGTTTCTGAAAATGTCTTCTATAGTCTTTAAGAATATAACAGATGATGAGTTGTTACAACATACAGCTTTTTTGTATGGTGACCTGTGCATAGTATACATGCTGCCATAATGATTTAAAGGGTTGCTTAGTTTTTCTATTTTCTAAAATTATATGTTTAAAAAGTAACTGAGATTAGTCTAGTCTAGTCTAGTCTAGTCTAGTCTAGTCTAGTCTAGTCTAGTCTAGTATAGTATAGTATAGTATAGTATAGTATAGTATAGTGCTATGTAAATATGTGATATAAGTGATATAAATATTTTCATTAATATAAATAAACATTCATTTAAAAAAGTTATCTTAAATAATACCTAGTAATGCTTGTTTCCATTTAGAAGATTGAGGACAGTGATCAGTAAACATTTCTTAAGCTATAGCGCACACTAGTGGATTTTTCTGTCATTTCAGGAAAAAATAAACATTTTATAGAAAAGGATTTTTGTATCATACATTAGAAAATTACATCTGCTTAAGTCATGTACATAGCATAGAATTGCAGCATGTACAAAGTGGAAGGGATATTATAAGCCATCTGGTTAAACTCTATTGCAGGCGTCCACTAAGCCATTGGTGACGTTTGGCTTTCTTGCTTTTTTTATTAAAATCTCTAGCAAGATGGATCCACAATACTTTTAGCAAATTATTTCACTGCTAACCAGTTTTTGGCGTCAGGAAATGTTGCCTAATATTCAACTTGCATGTCCTTTTAAAAAAATTAATTCACTCATCTTTGTTCTGTCTTTGGTTTTTAAAAAGAATAGAGCTTTCCAATCCTGAATTGTTATCTTTGATCTTTCTGTAGGTCCTTATATTTGTCACCATTGAATAGCAACTAGTCAAAATAAATTTGAACTATGAACTTATTCTCTTAAAGTGTTGATCAATCCCACTAATATCATTACAGGGTTAATAAACATCAGTTTAGTTCCATCTTCTATGTCAGAAGTCCCCAACCTTTTGGGCACCAGGGACTGGTTCCGTGGAGAGAGGTTTTTCTGCAGACAGGATAGAGCGTGGTTTTATGTACTGCCTGCATTCCATGGATGGGGCTTTGCTTGTTTGCGCGGACCGGTTTCTGGCATGCCACAGACCAGTGCCAGTCCACGGACCGGGGGTTGGGGACCCCTGTTTTATGTTATTTGTAAAGTTGAATGGCATAGGACGGAGGACTACTCTTGTGGAACCTCATCGATTTCCTGAAAAATGGAAAATAAATTTCAAGCACTTTTTGAATGCAACTGAGCCAGTTAAAAATCCACTAAACCGTAGTAACCTACCTGCATGTATCTATTTTGGCCACAAGGTGTAGAGGAGAGTGGAAATAGCCTTAAAGAAGGAATTCAGTACCCATGAGATAAACACCCACTTAGCCCTGAAAAGGAAAATGGGGTGGAAAAAAACCCTCAAGATTGCCCTACCTTAAGTCTCTTTGATATAAAGGCAGAGAGAAATTCTGTCAAGTTTTCAAGATATTGTTAATGTACTCTGCATCAGTGAAGAATTTCAATAGATCATGTGGAGTCTGTTTCCTGATCTGCCCTTGACACAAAGATACAATATAATCCACTGTATTTATGCTTTACCAAAGTCAAACAGCAGTAGCTCCACAACATTTCATGGTCTAATTAAGCTAGTTGCTTTATCATAAAAAAGGATATGATCAGCTGACATGGTTTATTATTGACAAACCCAAGAAGGCATCTGTTAATGATAGTATTCTTTTTTTAAACACTTGCATATAACTGGTCTGTAGTTTCTTGGATTCTTCTGCTTTCCCTTTTTTGATATTAGGACTATTGTTAATTTCTGCTCTTCTGGTATGTTAACTAACTTATTTTTATTCTATCTGATACTGTTCTGATACTATAGTGACAAAGATGGGAGGAATGAGTGTAACCACCTGTAGTATGCATTTGTAGTTATAAAAGTATATGCTACATATTACCGGAATTAAGAATATCCAGCACTCTCTTCCCACAATGGCCAAGTAGGTACATTTATAAAGTGCAGTTGCACTCTCCTGTTTATCATCCTCTCCAGTTGATACTAAGAGATATAACCTCTTTCTTTCTAAAAATAACATTTGGCCATGATAACAAATAGCTATTGATAGCTTTATCTTTCATATGCATCTATAAAAGTGAAAATAATGTATTGTACCCATTTCCAAATACTAACCCATGCTTATAATTTAAAATCTTCATATAAAGTGTCCTAATTTGTTATTTGTATTTTTTAATTTAGGTTTTATACAGGTTGGAACACACCAGTAAATGGGGATGAGATTCATAAACGAGTGAAAAGTATTTTAAGAACGCACAGTGCAAGGAAAAGGCTAACATTTGTAAGTTTGAGAATCAATTGGCATCTCTTCCCCTTCCTTAGGTTTTAAGCAATAAGGCTTAGCAACCATTTCATGCAATTGCTAAGCCTTCAGCACACAGAGGTTCCCTATTCAGCTTGCTGGTTCCTTCAGGCATTCCAGTTTCCTCTCTCTGGATGCTAAGAACATCCCCATAACTTCTAAGAAAAGGCCGCCAGGACATTCTCTGTGGGATGAGACAACTTTTCAGGAAACATCTTTCCCATTCCAAAGCACTATTCAATGCTACCTGGACTAGAAGGGCTATAGGAGAATAAATAATGTAGTTCTGTCTTCTAATTCAGTTTAAAGTACTACATAAGTTGTTCATTGGCATGACTAAATAATTCAGGGGATGGAGCATATTCTCTCTTGCTTTGTGCCAAATTTTAGATTAAAAAAAAAGAAATGCATTTAGACAAAAGGGAAATGGATCTATTGCAAGTTTGGTTCGTCCAAGTATCAGCATAATGGCATGTTTGGAACTGGTGGCTGAATCTCATCCTTAAGCAGCTGGATTGTCTCTGTTGTCAATTATAAGATTCTTCTCCTCATCAATTCATACAGAAGCCATGAATAAGAGACATAGAGTGTATCCACTTTAGGAACTGGAAGACCATTCACATTTGAAAAGGGGATGATAATCCCATTGCTGAGATTTGTGCAACCTTATCCTCTCAATATTTCTTTGATAAAGTAACTCAGGAAGAATCTTGTTTTCTGTGAAAGGGAGATTATCAAGAAATTGATAATGAGGCATATAGTGAGGGATTCTACATTTTTCAGCTTTTTGATTAAGAGTAAATAGAAATAGTTCATTTTCTATGAATTATTCAGAAGTGCTTTTCATTTCTAGTTTGATATCTAGGTAAAAGTTGTCTTTGTGGATTTCTGATATAGCATAGTAAATTGTTTCTAATTATTAAAATATATGAGGTAGGTTTTAATTAATGTTCTCATGTATTCTATTAGTAACTTAAATCTTATAAAAGTCATGTTACTATCCCTATATTGCTGGGGAAGGCTTAAACTTAAAATAGCTTAAATACTTTTTAAAAAGTAAGCAATGTGTTTTGACTATCAGATAAAATTATTGGTTTTTTTTAATCTTTATTTCTTAGGATGAGACTTCTTTGTCAAAGGAAGAATTTGCTAAGACAAGAGACTCCACTGGGACAAGAGATTTCGGAAAAAGAGATGTTTCACATACAGATTCTTTAAACAGTAATTTTCAGAACAGGTAAGATTTCTTTTAATTATGATTCCCCTCTTCCCATTATTCCTTTTTTCCCCCTCAGTTCTCAGTCCAACCCCAGATTGTCTCTGACATAACTTTAGATCTTATGTGGTTAATATGTGCATACTATAGCTATTAGAAACTAAATTTAAATAACTTCTTGCACTAATTCCATGCAAGTGATTTTTGCTTGATATTTAGCGTGTTTGAACCATGGTACAATCCAAAGTGAACCTTTGTGGATTTTAGCAGATGCAATTTTCTGCCCTTTTGCTTCCTCCTACATAACATTAATGGCATAACAGCCATTGTATCTTTGTAGCTTTCCATGTCAGTGATATAACTGGGATAACTTAATGCCCAAAATTATGTCAGATGTGCCTGTGATGCAGGTCATCCTTATATTACTAAAACTCCTGAGTACCGTGTCTTTGTGTGTATAAATAAAAGCCATACTACTATCATGTAGGGCTCTTTACAATGTATTGATGTCACTCTAAGAATAGACCCTTTACTGTTATATGGTATATAACAAACTATACTCACTCAGACTGTTGAGCCATTTAAACTAGTATCAATTAGAATGATTAACAGTGGCATTCCGAATTTTAGGCTGCAGCTTTTCCAATCACCGTTGTATATCAGGAATTGAACCAGGGATTTTTTTTTGCATGCAGAGTTTGTACTTACCATTATATTAAAGTTTCTCCTTTTAACTGAGAACCCAATCCATATTTTGATGTTACCAACCATTCACATTCTGAATTTTTCTGTAACCCATACGTGTATATTCTGATGGAGTCAATTTGGGAGGTACAATACATGAATAAAGAATTTGCAACTCTTAAGTGATACAACATTATTGAGAATAATTGACGTTGAAATGCTAATATTCAAGTAAGGTCAGATACTGGTGGATTTGTCCCATCTCTAGACCAGTCAACGAGTTGGGAAATGAGGAGGCTCAAGGATATTCTGACAGTTTCAGGTCTGAAGATGTCCTCATAAATAGCATGCCAAAGTAGAGTTCAAAGGAGAAAGTAGTTTTGCTGACCAAATGTTCACACTAAAATAAATGATTGAAAACCTCTGGGACTACACAGAAGATATGTGATGTTGAAATATTTAGTATGAAAGTGACTTTGAAAGGAACTTGTGAAACTCTAAAGGGTATGGAACAAAACCATGTGACAGGTAGATGACAGGTATTTCTGAAAGTGGAGTAAGTGCCATTATCCTGCTCGTAATACAATTTCTGCTTGTAATTCCCAGATCACTTCACTTTAGCTTGTCAGAGTAGTTTTCAGTTAAGATAGCATTTTTCCCAACATGGATGTAGATTTGCCCATTTCATTGTGGATTTCTTGTGAGGAAGGGATGGCTAATGGCCCTGCATGAAAGTGACTGCTGACATTGTCAGTATGCTGATCTGAAATCAACAAAAATCACTGCCACTGTTTGTAAGTAAATCTTAGGCTGTTGTGATGACTAGTTTTAAGTGAAGGAACTTGAATTTGTTAGAAGCTAACTCTGAGTAATATGTTGGCAAATCCAGGTTATTATGGATAGTTTGAAGTTGCTTGTTTCAGATGCAAGCCAAGAATGAAAGTGTGAAAAACTCAGAATTTGGCATATACAGATATGTTTAGGGTGTAATCAACAAACTGTTCTCTTGATTTCTTTTAAGTCACACAAATGCTAATTTTATTTATTTTTGTTTTCATTTCTTACACTTCAATGCCATTTCCTATCTTGAAGTTTGCAAATAAAATACATTTCAGTATAATTAAGTGATATAAAATGGAAAGAAAATATTTAAAAACCCATATCCATAATATTTATATAAGAAAGACAAAGACACAGAACTTCCATAGGCAACATATTAGCAAGCACTTCACGGTTGTTGTAGAGTAGAGTTCCCTAATCTTTCCAGCTTTGCAGACTGGCTAGGGGGGGGGGAGAGGGGATGGATCTGCGCAAGTGGTGGGTACACACGTGTGCTATAAGTGTACCTCCATTTGCACGAGCAGTCGGCATGTGTTTCTCGTGCAAGTGGGAATGCATGTGTGCATATGCTCGCCCACTACTTCCGCGGCCCAGTTCCAAAGGGCTCAAGGCGTAGGGGGTTGGGGACCCCTGTTGTAGAGAGAGCATTTCAGGAGCAGGCACCATCACAGACAAGTTTCACTTAGGAATAATTGTAAGATGACATTTTGTTAGTCATGCACACCCAGTTGCAAGTCTCCTTGGCAGTCTTACTGATCCCAAAGTTATTCACACAGGAGAAAACTATTAAAACTCTCTATGGAGGTTTTCAGTCATCCAGGTCATGGTTGTCCCAGAAAGTGCTTTTTTTTAAACTACAACTGGACTTCCTTGATTTTTCTTGATGTTTCACTTCTCATCCAAGAGGTTTCTTCAGTTCTAACTTACTAACTGGTGAGGAATGGAAAAGATTTATATTCTTTTCAATCACTCTGAGGAGTGGCTGGGGGTTAACATGTGTCCTCAGAGTCACCTGAATTAGAGAAATCAGGAACACATTAAGATAGAAGCTTTTGTCCACCATAAGAACCAAAACACCCAGACACAAACAGGGCAATATTGTATATGCAGTGCAGTGCAGAATTGTACATTGGAGAAAATGAAACAACCACTACACAAATGCATGGCACAGCACAGGAGAAGCAACGCAACAGGGGTAGAATGCAGTAGTCATTCTACATCTAAAAGAAAAGAGCAGTAAGGTTCACATTCTGGATAGAAAGGACCACTGGTTTGAAAAAGGAATCAAAGAGGCTATCTATGTTAAAACTGAATATACCTCCCTCAGGGGTGTGTGTGTGTGTAATGACAACACTTATCTGCTGTTTACAATGCAGCCTTTCAGCGATCCCAAAAAGGTTCCACACTCTGATTCAGGTGACTCTGAGGACACAGATTAACTCCCAACTGGTTTCAACAACCTCAGAGTGTCGACTGCAGAGTATAAATCCTTTTCATTCCCTACCAGTTGGTTAGAACTGGAAAAGCTTCTTGGATGAAAAGTGAAATGTCTTCAAGAAAAATCAAGGAAGTCCAGTTGTAGTTTGAAAAAAAGCACTTTTGGGACTATCAAAATTCTGATCAGAATACAATTCATTCATGAGGATTTGTGTTTAGAACACATTTGTATGAATAGAATCAAGACTATTCAAAGTTTGTAAGAACAGATGTCTGAGGGCAAGTAAAGTTTATTAAAGAAGTTAAATGCTATTATGTGCATGTGCTATACCCGTGGTGGCGAACCTATGGCACGTGTGCCACAGGTGGCACGCAGAGCCCTCTCTGTGGGCACACATGCCATCGCCCCAGTCCTAGGCCTTCAGCTGAGTTTTATAAAACCTTTTTGCTTTAGGCTTCCGCCACCGTGTGCAAAAAAAAAAGGGTTCAATCAATCAATCAATTTCAACTTCTCGCATGAAAAAAAAAAGATCTTGCAAAGTTGGAATTGATTGATTGAACTTTTTAGTCCCACCCAGTCTGCCATTACCACCAAAGCCACACCCACCCAATGGGCCATGCCCATCCGGCACCCGACAATACATAAGTGGGTTTTGGGTTGCAGTTTGGGCACTCGGTCTCTAAAAGGTTTGCCATCACTGTGCTATACCTTTGAAGTAGGCAAGGTCTAATCCAGGCATAGCAGGGATTTCACCAAAAACCCTTTACTGTTGTAGGATAGAATAACAATCTTGAAAGCCTGTTAGAGTTTCTCTCTGCCTCTTCTTATACCAAACCAAAGTAAAGCAAGGCTATTTTGAGTTTTTTTCCCCTCACATTTTCTTCTTTCTCAGGACTGATTAATTTTTTCTGAAAGTCTCCCGTTAACATACCTCCTCTATTCCCAAGGCCAGATCTACATTCCCTTCAATCTGCATCTGAGCTTTTTATCTTCACAGTGAGGAAAGGAGAAGGAAGTACAACTTCTGTGATAAATAGACTGACAGGGCCATGCTAAGGGTCATCCAAAGGAGAACAAGGAAAAGAAAATTTGCCTTTAGTTGCATAAAAGATGCAAAAGTATTGATACTTTTGGAGCTGCATTCCAGCAGGTCAGGGTTTTTTATATTAAAAAATAAGCATGAGGTAAGGAGGCCCGCATGCTATTTGAAGTGTGAAAGAAGTTGTGCAATGTGTAATCTTGAGGCATAATCTGATACTGAAATGAGAAGCAGACTGATAAGCAGAAGCTCTAATCAGGTAGATTAAAATGCAGGTGCAGATAGAAAGTAATAACACCATACATATTCCTAAAAAGAGATCACCATCACTGCCCAGAATTTTCCAGACTGGCAAGGAGCAGTCTTATGTACCTTTTTCTAAATAGTATTTTATATAAGCAAATATTTGTCAGCATTCATGTACTGACACTAGTTTATGAGTAATTAACACACAATGCAAATTATATAAAGTGTAATAAATAAATGATAAATGCCTGTTACTCTTTTCTGAATTTTGAAAGGTAATGATTTGATTTATTTTTATTTTATTTTTTTGGTCTGGGTGTTTGTGGACTTTGCCAGTTCATTCAGCCAGCCAGACGTCATGGTTCATTTGGATAATGGTGAATATTGGACCAATCAAGTTGCAGAGTATAAAAACAAGCCCCACAGAGCCATCTTTGAAGACAGCCTGGAAAAAATCTATCGAAACATGTACAGAAATGCTTCCAGCTCACTTTCAAAGAATAAATCAAACTAAATTCCTAATAAGTGCTATAGGTGAAAATGAACAGTGTACAAGATCAGTATTTTTTAATTACGAAGATTATTATTTGCCTAATGACTGTATTCTATTTTTTAACTGAACTGTTTTTACATACGTATGTGGAATTTTGAGACTGGGATTTTCAATACGAAAATAAAATCTGGAGGATTTTTATTACAATGTATTGTTTTGTTGTGGATTTATAGGCATGCCAGCAGTTTTAGTTTGTCAACCTCAAACATCAAGTTTTCAATTAAGGAAAATCTAAGTCATTTGTCCATGATTTTGCACTTGCATTATGCGCAAATATACAAGGTCTTTCCCTGTTGCTTCTGGAATTGTATTTCTAACTCTGCTTCTGAAATACATCATCATCATCATCATTCCTCTCGCTCTGAGTCATGTCATTGGATTTTTGTTTCATGTATGTGAGCGGTGATGAGAATAATATTGTGAAGTGGGGTGTCCGACAGCATCAATTCTTTCAGAACTATAACTTCCAGTTATTACACTTTCCAGAAGTAAAAAAAATGGAACTTTAATTAATAACCACCTAACACAATTATATAATATTTGAGACTAATGGTATACAAGGTGGTACAAAAAGCAGATGGCAGTCTCTGAGAATTTAGCAAATTATTCAGTTCAGTGAGAGAAAGGAAAGCAGTATTTTATTTTAAAAAAAATTAGAGGAAATAGTCTTTTCAGTTAAATGGGGGAAAGATTGAAGCAGGAGTTCAGAGAGTGGTGGGCGAAATGAAGGTTTCAAGAAATTCTGTGGTTCAAAAAGAGCAATGATAAACTGGAGGGAGTTTGGAGGACTAGCAAAGTAACAAGGTGTCTGGAAAAGAAGCCCTGTGAGGAAAAATTAAAGGATTCTTTTTATAAATTTGGTTTGCAAAAAAAAATAAAAAATGAGGGGAAGTATGATAGCAGCTTTCAAGTATCTGAAAGATTGTCACACAGTCTTGCAATGAATATAATATCCATAGTTCCAGAATATAGGAAGGGAACCAGTAAGTTATAGTTGTAAGGAAAGAAAGAGGTTCAGGCTTAATATCAGGACAGTCTTTCTGATTAAACGAGCTGTCAGCCAATGGCAAAGGCTGCCCACGTGAACTGTTGAGTTGTCCACTAGAGGTCTTCAAACAGGTTGAATCGTGATGTGTCACACTGAGCAGGAACATTCCAACTTGATTCTAAGTGATTTGTTTTACTTTAGCGTTCAACTACAGAAGGAAGAAAAGGGGGGGGGGAAATGCTATTGCCACCACAAAGAAAGCCTCCTGCCACAGCAAAGAGGGAGAGGAATTTACAACACAGACACACGCTAAACAGGGCCACTTTTTGCACAAGCACTGCTTTGTTTAGAAATGAGAATAAAATGCAACGTTTCGGAATTGAAGAGGGAGAGAGAGGCCAGGGGAAGGAGTAACTTTTTCTATGCTTGGCTGTTTATCACACCTATCTGCCCTGATCTACAGGGGAGGGAGGGAGGGGGGAGGGAGGGTTGGGTGGAAGGAAAGAAGGAAGGAGAAAAATAAAAAAGAAAGGAGCAACACAGATCTATTCAGTTTGCCAGTCAAGCATCCTAGAACCAGTAGTTTTGCACCATCCTCCTACTTCCTGGTGTGCTTTTATTATATTTAAAACAAATAAACACCTGGAGATGACTGGATAAGAACATCTCATCAGGGACTTGATCATAGCTCCAGGCAGTGAATCCTCTGTCAGAGACATTTGTCAATAAAACTGGGTAGCTACCAGACAGCACCTGGGGATAGTTCGTTGACATTTCTGGCCCATAATTTGGGAATGTGGATAACTAGCCCACTGCCAGAGATAAGACATTTCTAGCAACCAGCACCTAGAGATGGTTTGATGACACGTATGGTCAATAAATTGGGAAATCTGACTCTTAGCTATGTTTGTGAGAAGAGTGCAGTGTTACCCTCCCATTGGCAGGGATTACATTAGGAAATTGATGCTGACTTCTTTATCTGCATTGTCTCAAATAGGAATATAGATAAAATCCTCACAGAGGAGAGCGATATCTGCAAAGCTTGCTAAGTAACTTTTTCTAAGTGCAGATAAAAGAATTTACACACATTTCTGCCTCAAAATGTGTGTTTCAGGTGTTTCTTCTAAGTGTGACAAAAAAGGGGGACTTGCATCATTATTGGTCCTAATCAATTCACGCAGGGTGAAGGCCTAATCAACCTCTTTTCAACTGCTTCAAAGCACTGCAAGTCATTTCCAGTTAACGCCTTGAGCTGAATTGCATCATCTGCTGAATGGCAGGTTTTCGGTTTTTTTTTGGTTTTCCAAATCTTTTCAAGCCAATTGAGTGTCCAAATCAAGGAGTGTGGTTGTCCATTGATCAGTTCATCAACATGTAATAAGCTGACCCTGTGCCATTCCCATGAGGCTGCCTCCTTCACACATACATAGAAGTAGAGCTTATGTGTATGAGTGAGAGACAATGTGGAATGGTTCAGTTTTGGACTGGGGAAAAAAACAGATTCTAGTCAAGCTGAGTGATTCTCAGTCTGGAAGTTGAGAACCATCTATGTATCAATCTGTAATGCATTGATTTGGGCTGATTTTGTGTCTGTGTGTGTACAGACAAACAGACATACATGCATGCATACTTGTATGAAAGTATAGTATTGTATACTATATATTACCTTAATTGTTATATACTGCACCCTGCTTTGATGATCCTGTATTTAACAAGAGATTATACTGGAAGACCTCCAAGATATTTTAAAACTCTCTTTCTTATTGTACTTGTTCCCAAATTTCCACTGAGAGCCAAATGTTACTGAAGATGCCAGTGCATTGTTTACATATATAAAGAAAAAACCTCCAGGCATCCTGGGGTATTGTATCCACCCAAATAACAATGTTTTGCATATTTCCTGCTTTAGTCTGAACAGATTTGGATTCTGTCCTTGCGAGCTTAAAGGATGTCTTGGCAGAACTGTATTGGCAAAGCTGCCATCTCTTTGCTAAAGGCCACCAAATGTTCACCAGCTATTTTGAAACTTCCCTCGAGAAGAAACCTTTCTAGCCTTCCACTGAGTATATCCCACATGAACAAATCAGAACAGGCTGCCCACTTTCATCAAGCTTCAAAAGATTTAAAGCCAGGAAAAAGAATACGTTGTATTTTTGGAATATTTCTTCTCAAAGCATCCAAAAATAGACTATCAAAGATAATTTCATCTGTATTTTTTCCAGCACAAAGTACATCATATAATAGTGCCATCTGCCCCCATTTTCCACTGATAAGTTTATCCATTTTTTTTTTAAAAAATGTTTCTATAAGGATTCAGATATAAAATTTGGACAGATAAACAATCTTATTTATTTAGGACTTGCCATTAGCAATACTTTTAGGGTGACGTGTAATGAAAATCATAATGTGTCAAGATAAAATATAAGTGGTGTACCAAACTTTAATAAAACAGAATATCCGAATGATTCGGGTAACTGGAAAGTAACTGGGTAAATAAAAAATATCTTGATGTGAAATGTCAGCTGGGTTGGCATGACACAACCTCCTAACAATCCATTCCATAAAAATTCCGAAGGGCCCCATGTTCTGTAGCATCTGTCTTTCTTTAAACTGTATTGTAATACAAAGAAACTAGGCAGTTCTCAGCTAGCAGTATCAGGGCTTTTTTTCTCGGAGAAAAGGTGGCGGAACTCAAACCTGGCCACGCCCTCATCAAACCCTAGGACCGCCCCTTTAGAGAACAGGAATGCAAGTAAAATTTGGGAGGGGCTATTTCCGGTGTGGGAGGGGCTATTTCCGGTGCGGCCGGCCCGGAAAAAGGTGCCGGAACGCGGTTCCGCCGCGTTCCGGCT